TGCTCGAATAACTGGGAAAGTAAATGTTTTTTTATGGTAAAAGAAAAAAAGAGATACCAAAAAGAAAAGAAAGGGAAATAAAAACAAAAAAAGAAGAAAATATACACCAAAAGATTATATCTCTAGAAACTTCATAAAAATATAAAATATAAAATAAAATAAAATGAACAAATAAATCATAACAATTTTTATTTTATATCATTATAAAAAATGCTTTTTATAACAAAAAAATGATAATAATTAATTTTTTACAAAAAAAATTCATTTAATTAGTTTTATAACAAGTTACAATCGCTATCTGTTTTTTTTCTTCTTCTTAACGCCACATAGATAGGAAGATGTATGGTATAAGATAAATTTTTTAATTATTTTAAATAGTGATATATTATAATGTCTTTTTTTTGAAGTAGATAATTTATAAAGCAAGAATTGAAATTTCAGCCCATGACATATATCGGATTTGTTGTTAAACCGTACCCTTACAGTGAAGTAAAAATTCCCCCCCCCCCTTTGTTCTTTCTTTCTTTCTTTCTTTCTTTCTTTCTTTCTTTCTTTCTTTCTTTCTTTCTTTCTTTCTTTCTTTCTTTCTTTCTTTCTTTCTTTCTTTCTTTCTTTCTTTCTTTCTTTTTCTTTCTTTGTGAGTCAAATTAATTTTTACGGTTTTGGCTCTATCTAATCATTTTTTCCCCCAGTTTCAGTATTATTTACGGATCGAAACCCGAAAGATAATTTCCCTCGATTAAGATTTGTTTTTTGTAAGTTCCTACAGGTTATCGCACAATTCCCTAGATTTCTCTAATACTCATTGCAATAGACGCTGACATCAGTTTTCACGTTCGACCTTATTATTTCTTCTTATTGCTTCACATCTAGTTTTTTTTAAAATATTTACTCCTTTATTTACTGATTTACTCGCCTCCACCCGAGCACCAGATCGAATATTATTACCCAAAAACCCAAGTGATATTGATTCTGAGTGTTCATCCTAGTATGCGAGGCTAACGTCTATGTTCAGAAGGCGTTACTGCTTGGAGGGTATTAGTCTACGGAAGGAATAAGGGCAGTTATCCTTCGTCAACGACTGGAATGGACCAGGAAATATAGTGCATAGCTATCCTTTGAGGTAATGGAGAGGGGGGACGCTTACTTCGGAGATTGCTTAAAAATTAACTTAAAAACAAAGGTTTTGACCTGCAAGGCTCTAATGCTTATATTGGTTCATTTCACAGGAATAGTCTAAAGTCTATATTATACTGCATACAAGAATTTCACGGAAGATTTTTATTAATTTATTATTGCAATATGATTTTCAACCTAAATTACAACAAGGTACAATGGTGATAAGGAATCTGGAAACGGAAAAACGTTTTTTTTTAAAAAAAACTCATTCCAATCAGCTAATCTCGCGAGCGTCTACACGAAAATTTTTTCTTTATCGGGTACTCGCTCCAAACTATTTTTTTTTCACATAGACGTTGCGAGGTCTCATAAACGTTCATCATTATCATTCTTATTATTACACTAATCAGCTGACTTAATTTATAGCGGAGAATTCGCCGATTGATAATCTGGAGAATAACAATACCCGGAAACCTACATCAAGACTTTAATGTATTTATATGATATCTGACAAGGGATCAATTTCATCGGCATCGCTATTTTTTTTATCAAACCTGTAAAAAGTGTAATTTAGAATTTAAGGAATTATCTACAGATTTTCGTAGGTGTTCATATCAAATAATGGGTGAATAGAAACAATAGCTTAGCTCAAAAAAAATATTAAGATTTGGTAAAATGAGGATCAAATCTTTCACTCATCTATACGTGAGCTCTAGAGAAGCCGCTAACAGTGTTAAACACTTCTCGGTATTTAGATATAAGTACAATTTTCTATCTGTATTTTCTCATCTGTTTTGTCATATAATAAGGTAATATATATATTTTATTTTTGACTAGAAAGCCTGATTTAGGGAATTTTTCTTTAAAATTGGCCAAATCTAGAATTTGTTGACAACCCTACGCTATTATTTATATGTGTGTTATCCAAAAAAGACTTTGCTCAACCCTCAAGATTTTGGCCGCAGGTGGCACAAAGAGTTGGAATTGGCTAAATCTCATGGTTTTATTCAGTATTTTCCTATCTAAAATTTTAGAAGTTAGCAGCCGTTTTTTAAAAAGTGGCTCAAATTGACCCGTTTAACAACACTATACTTAATATCGATAAAACTACATATGTTCAACACCTAGGCGGGTTAGTTGGTGCAAAATAATAATACGCATAATTTTCGGGTTGGATTTTCATGATATAAATTTATATATATAAGAAAAGAAATAATTTTTTGTAAAATTTTTATCATTTATGAGGTTCTCTTTTTTTTTCTTAACGTTTGTGACTTGAATATATTTATTAAAAAAAAATCCCAAAATTTATAAATTTTCGTAAATTTGCAAAATTATGAAACATGACCAAAATCTTCTTATTAAAATTTTTGTAAATTTTTTATAAATTTTTAAAATTTATAAAACATGACCAAAATTTTCTATTAAAATTTTTTTAA